TTATGAATGAACAACGTTTCGTTTAAGTATTTATATTGAATAAACTGGAGTGTGGATAAAGAATTTATAAGGGTATACAGTTTGGTTAAAGCATTACTTTATTTACTTTTGGATTTGGGTAAAAAGAATTAATTATAGGTTTATGATCACATTTCCGCTGTTATTTGTGCCGCTTGTGAGCGGCTGTAAAAAAGTACTCCCCCCTGTACATGTTAATCAATGATGTTATAATTTTCGATCCTGAAGATCTCTTCAGCACGAACATTATTGTTGTGCTTGTGGTATTTTTAGTTTTAACTTTTCGGCACTTTTCTAGTTGGGTGGCTTCCCAATATTCCTACTTGGAAATAATGTTGAATCACCCTTAGGATATGTTGCCTGCTTTTTAAATTTGTCTTTTGACGTCTTATCTGTTCGATACGCAGGCTTCATAACCTCTGATCCCCTTTTCAAAATTCCATTTTATTTTTTAGTTCCGCCATTGTTTTCTCGTTTAGGGCACACGCTTTTTATTACTTCGGGGACCATACGCCGCTTTTCATGGATGGCACGGAGTGTCACATTGAAGGTTCCATGATAACCAGCCGTATGAACACATCTGCGGATGTTTCTAATTCAAAATTTTACTATTTCATGTTTAAATGTTGAATTCTTGCTTAACCGGTGCTAGGGGGCGTGGACGGTAAACTTGCACTTTCCAGTACCGTCCATGAACAGGCTCAATCAAACCGAGCCTGCAACATTTTCAATTTTGCCGTGTTGGGCTTTCTTTAGGGATTCTGTATTTATCTATTTTAGTTAAAGAATTTATTGTTTTGGTGCTAAACACCTTTGAGCTTATACCGCATATGGCTTTTTTACAAATCATTAATATCTTTGGTTGGATTTGATTAATTGATACATATATTGTAAGACAACTATTTTTCAAGAAATATTGAATTTTGGATTAAAATGAGATATTGTATATGTGGCTTTTGTTTTTATTTGTTTATGTGTTTATTGTCCTAAATTCATGAAATATTTTTTATTTTTATTCATGTATTTTCCTGATTACTTTTGTGAACTGCTTTGTAAAAAAATATTTTTACTCAATAATTGGTTTGAAATATTAAGGGAAAAAAAAACTTTTATCTTAGGGAATGAATAAGTAAAAAAAACAAACAACAATCCAATGAACAAGTAAAGAAACAATTTCTCAAATGTCACGGTGTGACGTCATCAAACACCGACTATTTTCAAGTTCAAAAATGTTTGCGTACTAAAAGCTTATGTTTAAAAAGTAAGATAGAGCCGATGACGTAACAAAGCAATTAGAAATTGAAGAAAGTATATCAAAGAAATTCATTGATCTTTTATCTGAATTTAATTCAAATGATAATTTAAAATCTAATCTTTAATTAAGGAACCAAGTGGGGCTATGCTTCAGACCTAGTGGTTGGGTTGTCTGCTTCTCAACCGGGTTCAATATAAATATTCTTCACACTAGCTTCTAAAATAGAAATTTTTGAAACAGTTAAAAAAACTAAGAACATTAACTTAAATAGGTTGAAACGACACTTTTTTCCGTAATATGTGAAGCTTTATTTTACATGTTTCTTCTGATCTCTTTGTTACAAAATCCACTGATTTAATTGTCTGTATTATTTATTGAATTATACAGGGTTAATTATCACCCACGGATATTATAATGTTTTGCACATCACAGAGTTCAAAGAGTTGTATCTGAACAATTAAGTCTACGTTTTTTAGCGTCATAGACCTACTGCTGGAGGAATTATCGGCTTACATGGGGAAACCCCCGCATTGTGTGTTGTACTTGGTCGAAGTTACTGAGTATACCGGTAACCAAAATTCTGAGACAGCCATACCCTGATATCTAACGTAGTCCCTATGACAGGAAATAATTCCGATTAGGTGTCAATCAAAATTGGAATGGTCGGTTAAATGCTCTATGACTGGAAGTGTTATTGATGTGGACATCCCTGATATCGTAACTATTCCAGGTGTGTAGCATAGATATCAGATACTTTCCCGTTCGATACACAGAACCCCTGCAACATGCTGTTTGTTCCTGGGGGATACTATAAAGGGGAAGTGTTGTTAATCGGCGGGGACGAAACAATTAGTCTTATATATTACACTGAAAATGGCGGATGGATTTTAGAGGAGTCTCAAGTTTTATATGAGTTCTCGCCTTTTGGTGTGTCAGAATATACAATAAACATGAAACTTAAAAGGGGACCACACTACTTTTTAGTAAATGTAGTTCTCCCTATTAGTTTTCACCAGTTTCTTCTGAGCGGTTTGTTTTCTTATTCCATTAGAAAAAGCGGGGAGCGTTTTCTTTTATGCCGTTTTCGGTTTTCCTGGCGTATGGTCTGTAATTTGGGTATGAACAATTGTTGGTGAAAATATTCCCAAAAAAACTTCCACTAAGACATGCGTCATATGTCGTTATTTCCTATTGTTAAATCTGTCATAGGTGCGCTTATTGTGTTTCGAAACCAATATCTTCATTTATAGATACCTAATGATTTTTTACGTTCAAAGGAAAAGGCATTCCCGACCTTAGGCTTTTGAGTATATTATATATTGCAACGAGCGTTTATTTATGTAGGAGTCATGGCCCATGTACGGCTATTTCGTAGTGCTCATAACCTAAATCTCTTGAATCAGGCTTGGGGATTACCAAGAACAGCAAAGAATCTTGGTCACTATTTAAAAAGACTAATCTATTGTTTCCAATCTTCAACTTCGGAAGCTTCTTGTGGTTTATACTATATCACAGAAAAAAATTCCAATAAATTTCTTTCTTTCCACCAATTTAAATATGTTTAACTAAACTAAAGGTCCATTTATGAGGAACTTTTACCTGTTTTTATTTTTTCAATATCATTTTTAACATTAAATATCTTTGTTTTAACAGTAGAATGTCTCTAGATTTTTACCATTACATTATAACTGATATCGAATAACAGATCTCCAGATTTGGCCGAATCTTCAAATATAGTTTATTGCAGAAAGATTCTGCCACTTACGTGAGTTTATTCTGAAGATTCTGTCTTCAACTGTTTATTACAGTATGGACCGCTAGAGTTATTTGTGCGATTACTGTAAGAATTATTTCACTTAATTTTTTACTTTATTTTCCATGGTTGTGTTTAAAGTTATTTACATTTTCTGAGCTTCTTTAATTATTTTCCGTAGAAAAAAGTCCCCCTAGATTTTCATCAATTTCAAATGTCTTCTCCTTCGAGTTTAGAAATCCTAGTATATTTTGCATATTTAAAATTCATTTGTGAACTATGTGTCGTAAGAAAAAAGTCATCGACCAAAATGAAATTTTACGACCTAAGTGGATGTTTGATTTTAGGTTCTATTTCTTTATGTAATCAAAGATAAGGCACATACTTCTATGCATATACTTTAGAAATGTTTTATGCGACGGCTATATTCTTGCTTAGCATTTGAGGAGGAGAGGCCGTAATTCTGGGAGGAGATGCATCCTGCACATTGACCATTATTCTATCTTCTGAGATGTTACCTTTTATATCAATGGAAACGACATTTATTTAAATAAGCTTACATTTAACGCATGTCTTACTGAAGACAGCAACACTGCTTGATTTTTCATTGAAAACATCAACTGGTACCCCTCTTTCAACTTTGATATATTCGTTTTCAGCTCTGAATTTGTATACTTGGGTCCAAGTTTTCGAACTAGGTTGTCAGTTATGTATTTTTATAGATTCATAAAACCAGAAATATCAAGTTTCCAAGAATTGAGGTTCTTCTCGAGAATGTGGCGCTTTGACTTGCTTTTGTGGATTAAGGGCTAGTCTTAATCATTACTGAGATAATAAATGTGGTGTGAATGGTAAAAAAAAAAGATCACAAACACTTTAAAGTAGTATTTTTACTGTTATTCTTGGACCATCATGTCCATACAACCCGTTAGTAGGTAATCTCATTTGTATAAAATCTACTCTCACATATCGCAACAATGCTAAGAACAAAATTATTAATTAACATGTATAATTTATTCCTAGTAATTTATTAAATCTAATATATAATTATATAATGCAACATTTAAGTATGTACATGTGGAAACGATTTACAATCTAACAGATAAAAACTTAAACTCGCATACAGAGTTGTCCACCCTTACAGTGAAGTTACTAAATACAAGGGAACTAACCATTCGAACATGAAATAAACAAATTTCTGACAACAGTAGCCTCCCTTCTATCAAGTTAAATTGCAAGGGATGTCATGTCTGCAGTGAGTATAATTGGAATCAAATCCATACACATTTATCTCCCGTACATTGAGATAATTGCTGAAATGAGTTTGATTAACACGAACTTCAATTTTCTAGCAACGTACAATATCTAAAAGCCCTATCACAAAATACAAAACATTATATTTTCAAACTAAAAATGTCATAATTGTAACACATTTTAACACTAACATTTAAGTTTCTGATAAAAAAGTTGTTCTTGATTTTCAAATTCGATTAAATAATTGCTTGTAGCCTATGCTTTAAGTTACTAGTCTTTAGATTTTGCTGATGTAAAACCGACACAACAGTACATATAAATGTAATTTTTTATTTTTTACACTAGAGTTATTTCCCCTTATACTCCGCGCATTATTATATTGGATTTAACCCAATGAAAACTAACTCAATAGCTTCGATTTGCTTAATTTGGAAAGCCTGTATGTCATGTATGTTACTATTAAGTGTTTTGTCCTTTATTTGATGGCCAAAGGCCATTCATTTGATAAACAAATACCTACATAACTGTATGAAACAATATTGGTTAATATTACATGCTTTGTTATTTGAATGTTTTGTCCATTGAACATAATTGTCTTTGTTAACGAAGAACTGGGCATCTAAATTCAAAACCATACAATATTAAACAATAACGCATTCAAAACAAAAATACTTTCCTTTAGGCGTTCGTTAGCTTTTGGATAAAACTATGCTTTATTTAGTGTAACATATAAAGCTATTTATATTTGCGAAATAAATCATCTTGTCTTAGTTATAGATTTTTACAGACTTTTTCTGGAGGTTTAAGTTGTTCTCTCACTTGCTGCTATTTACTTCTTTGTGGTTATTATTTTTACTTTGGTGTATTTAACTCAGCCTCGTTTTGGATCCAAAAAATTTCCTTTGTTGTTTACAGAGAAGTTTCTATTTTTGCTTTTTAATTATCATTTGATATTATTTCGAATATATATTTTGTTTATATGATAGATTTTATATATTTGTAGATATTTATCGATTAATTTTTGCCTACCGATTTGCGTTTCGTTGGTTTTACTCGATATTGAATCTGGGCTATTTGACCTACTTTTACGGCGTGTTCTAAACAAAGGATTTGTTTACATTTTGATCCAATTTTAAACAGGCTTGATATATTCAGCATTTCATTGATGGTTTTACTCAATACCCTAATAGTGCTGTGTAAGTTACATCAGCAGTTTATCTGACATTGTTGCTTGCGACTTCACAATGCCTCATAATTACTTACTTCTAGGGCATTCATTTACAAAGAGGCTACAATTTTGGTGTTTTCAAAACGACCTTCCTAACATGAATATAGACCGTGAACGCATTGAAATTTTTTGGCATGGCACAGGTGGTGCCACAATTGCAAACCCATTGCACAGGAAATCTCTTTGGTCAGATATATCATTAATTTCTGATTTACAGATTGATGTCACATTTATTGATATTGGAAGTAATGATCTATGCAACTACCATATTGCTTCGGAAACTGTTGCTCACCAAATAATTACTTTTGCAGAGGCAGTTTTATCCAAGGGCTGTAAGGTTGTCGTCATATCTGAAATACTGCCACGTAGTACTCCACAGGGATATAACCAACGAGTAGAAACAACAAATAGACAATTGAGCCAAGCTTGTAATTCACATCCAAGACTGATCTTCTGGAGTCACTCAAGAAACAATTTTAATAAAAGATTTCTTTCAGATTTTGTAGGAGAAGATGGTGTGCATATTGATACTGTCCGAGGGCTACCACGCTATTATACCTCAGTGAGAGGAGCTTTGTTGCTGGCTGAGAGAATGTTATAATACTGAATTATAGGTTTAACTGAATATATAATAGATATTTTCAAAAAAAAAAAAAAATAAAAAAAATTTATATTTTCTTTTACAGAGTATTGATTTGCTAAAGCTCGTTGTTGTATATATTGGTTGTGGTGACAATTGCCGTAAAGTTTCCATAACAGCTATCTACAGAGATGTAGGTTATATTTATTCATTACATTAATGCGGTCTTGGCATATTTACAATTGTTGGATATTACACTTTCACGGTTAATGCGAATAAGAAGCATATAATTTTAACCGGGGTTATATTGCCCTTTGTAATATCACCATTTCAAACTGAAGAAATATTTTGTTTGACGCAGGGGGGTCTACTCTTTTCTGCAATGTCAGCATTCTACCTCGGTTTGACGCAGGGAGAAATATAATCTCTTCTGCTATGTCACTTATTAACATAGATATAATTACCTTTTGTTTGACGCAGGGAGAATTCAATCTCTTCTGCAATGTCACTTATTTATATGGATATTATTGTTTTACTTTGACGCAGGGAGAAATTTAATCTCTTCTGCAATGTCTCTTATTAATATGAATATAATTGTTTTTTGTTTGACGCAGGGAGAAATTCCATCTCTTCTGCAATGTCACTTATATATATGGATATTATTGTTTCACTTTGACGCAGGGAGAAATTTAATCTCTTCTGCAATGTCACTTATTTATATTTTTGACATATTTATTGTGTCGCAGGGGGATTTACTCTCTTCTGCCTAGCACTTATTTTTGACACAGGGGGTTTCATTCCCTTCTGTAATGTCAATTTTGCAATCAGAAAGCTTATCAAACTCAGAGGAAGGCAATCCTTTTGTGATATCAATATACAAGATTCATAATAAGCTTTCATTACAACAATTTGTCTAATCAATACAATATGTGATGTGGATTCTACTTTCAATGACCAATGCCCTAATTGCCCCTGTTAATTTTGTTATTACTGCTATATTGTCCAATTTTTCAGCATGCCTAAACGGAAACCATCAAACGCCATTGGGGGCAAGAGAAAGGCTTCAAAAGCATCACCTTCTGAAGAAACCTCTGAACAAAGATTGGCCTCACTCATAGCGACGGCTATTGTCAAAGACAAGACGGTCCTTAAAGAAATTATGGACATTTTACCAAACGAAGAATCTAATGAAGATGTCGTCCAATCTCGAAATCTGGACGGTACGGAAATTGAATCAAATGCTTCTAGGAACATCTCAGAACCCGAAGATTCAGCTTCAACATTGTCCACAGATTCTGTTGAACTTTCAGACTGTCAGGATCTTTCTGTTGAGCAGCCTGTAGATTTAGGAATATTTTCTTTAATTCACCCAGTACTAAATCCTAGATTAAGAACAAAAATTTTGAACAAAGAATATGTTGATTTATCAGAAGTTTTTTTCGCAAATTCAAATGTTTCAGAAACAACAACAATTCAAAAATTTCATAACTCAACCGTAAAGTCTGTACACAAAGCAGCTAAGAAGGAAATCACCAGCATAATGATTTGGACAAGAGCTTTCCAAATATATGCTGATATTTACACATCCAAATATCCCTCAGAAGCCCCACAAATGTTTAGATACATGTCTATCATTCAGACATTGGCAAATCAAAATGCCCCTTGGCTATCCTATGATGCCAAATTTCGACAAATGAAATCGACATCAAACATACCTTGGGGTACTATCCATACCGAAACATACTTACATTGTTCGATCATGAAGCCTTCCTTTCGTTCACATAGCACATCCTCTGCAAAAGTCCCACAACACATTTTGCAGAGAAGAGGTTACTGTTGGGACTACCAAAAATTTGCTAACTGCTTTAAGCAGCAATGTGAAAGGTTCCACAAATGTGCTAACTGTGAACACTTTAACCATGGTGCCAGTAGATGCACTAAACCCTTCAGACCTTCCAACCACTCGGAAAACTCACAACGTTCTCGACCAGATGGATTTTACAAGCACCAGCAGAACAAACCAAACTCAAAGTGAGTTCTCTCTACCAACCCCTATTCAGGTCACTTCCCTCTCTTTTTATTTAGAAAACTATTTTGAAGACAAGAAAACTTTCTTGTTAGATGGCTTCAAATATGGGTTCGCCCTTGGTTCCGAAGGTCAACTACCACCCAAATCATGTCAAAATCATCCTTCAGTCGCCCTTCATGAAACATTTGTTCAGAGTAAACTTACTTCTGAAATTAGTAAAAAAAGAATTAAAGGTCCATATCCCTTTCCACCTTTTCATAATCTAATTTGTAGTCCTCTTGGAGTTGTGCCTAAACGTTCCCCAAATTCTTTTCGTCTCATTCATGACCTTTCCCATCCGAAAAACGGCACTTCTGTCAATTCTACTATTCCAGAAAGCAAATCACATGTACAGTTAGAAATGTTTGACCATGTGGCCTCTCTTGTCCTTAAATCAGGCCAGCATTCTTTAATAGCAAAAGCTGATATTGAAGATGCTTTCAGAATAATTCCCATTTCTCCTTTAGACTACCATAAACTTGGATTTTCATTTCAAAATAAATACTATTTTGACACTGTCCTTCCAATGGGCGCTTCCTCTTCAGTTGCGATTTTTGAATCTTTCTCTAAATCTATTCAGTGGATCTTGCAACATAAATTTGCAGTCTCAAAAGTTTCACACATTATTGACGATTTCATATTTGTAGGTTCACCTAATACCCATGAATGTCAAGAATCTTTAGACAAGTTCATGCATTTAGCATCTTTAGTTGGAATACCAGTCAAACATGACAAAACAGTGCTTCCAGCTACTTCAGTTGAGGTTCATGGGATTGTCATAAACACAACTACCCTTTCAGCACACCTTCCAAGCTTAAAGATAACAAATCTCAAAAGAATTCTTGGTCAGTCAATGCAGAAAAAGAAAGTGACACTTCATGAGCTACAGTCTATTTTGGGTCATCTTAACTTCGCATGTAAGGTCATTAAACCAGGGCGCTGTTTCCTTCGTAGACTGTATGACCTGACAAAAGGTCATACAAATGGTTCTCATTTTATCAAATTATCCAAAGATTGCAGGGCTGACCTTAAACTTTGGTACACTTTTCTTGAGAATTATAATGGGGTTACTCTCCTCACTAATGACAGGTTTATTTCGTCTAAAACTTTGCGTCTGTACTCAGATGCTGCAGGTTCAAAAGGTTTTGCGTGTACTCACCAAAATTCTTGGACTTTTGGTGAATTTCCTGAGACTGTTAAAACACTACATATTAATATCTTGGAACTTTTCCCGATAGCACTGGCAGTAGTTATGTTTGGGAAATACTGGGCAAACAAAAACATACTGTTTGTGTGTGATAACTTAGCTGCTGTTCACTGTTTAAACAAACAAACATCTAAAGACAGTATAATGATGAAACTTATTCGTATCATTGTTTTAAAGGCACTTGACTGCAATTTTTGTTTTCATGCCACGCATATTTCATCCAAAGACAATCTCATATGTGACAAACTATCTCGTTTGCAGGTTGCCGAAGCTTTGAAGCTGGCACCGCACTTAGACGATCATCCCACACCAATACCAATCAACATGTCACCAAGAAGATTGCTAAAGTAAAACAGTCCTTAATAGATGCATCTTTGGCGACTTCAACCCACCAATCTTATGAACGTTTTTGGAATAGGTTTAATGATTTTGTTATGTCACTTTCATCCAAATTTTCCCCATTGCCTGCCGTTCCTGAAGTTATACATGATTTCATTGCCCACCTTCACATGCTTTCATATTCACCAGCCACAATAAGTAGCCATCTGTCAGCTATTTCACATTTTCATCAACTGTCAGGTTTTCCAGATCCATGTAAAAATTTTACCACTCAGAAAATGCTTCTCGGCTGTAGAAAAACAAACAAAAAAGCTGACACACGATTACCCATTTTAAATTCTCACATTGACTTGCTGCTTAAAGCCATACATCAATTATATGTATTTAACCCTTACCTAAAGATACTGTATAGTGCCATCATTTTGACAACTTATCATGGGTTTTTCCGTGTTGGGGAGTTACTCCCAGCCACAATTTCTTCAGCATGCAAGGTGGTCCAAATAGGGGATGTCTGTATTAACAACAAAGCCATTCGGTTAAAACTTCTTAACCACAAAACCAGGAAAACAGATAAACCAATTATGATTCTCATTCGGAAAATGTCTAAAAACTGTCCTGTTCAAGCTTTACACCATTATTTAAAATTACGAGGTAAACAGTCGGGTGCCTTATTTCAAACAGCTTGTGGTTCAGTCGTCACACAACCTTCCTTCCGTGAAATTTTTAAATCTCTTTTAATCTGTGCTAATTTATCACCTGCCTCTTACAAACTGCACAGTTTTCGAATAGGAGCTTGTACACAAGCAATAATTTCAGGTACACCTGAGAATGAGGTTATGCGTATGGGACGTTGGAAGTCTCATGCCTTTAAAAGATACATTAGAGTACCTATGGTTACAACTCGTAACACAAGATCTACTTCTGAATAGTTTGAGGACATTGGGGTGTGTTCTCAATTCCCATCTAATTGCAAATTATTCCTAACTTCTGCTACAATACGGCTTTACGGTTTGACACATTGACATTTTTTAATTACTTAGCGCTCTTTTTTACATCATTCTTACTTTTAGATTTATTGCAGAATTACTTTTGTTTTCATAATTTAGTTTGAAGTTGTCTAATTAAATACATTCACCGCTTAAGCTTTTCTCAGAAGAACATTGGGGTGTGTTCTTCTGCTATTTCTTTTCGTTCTTAAAACAAAACTTCATTTATTATGTGCAGTTTTATTATATACATACATGTATGCATGTGCCATACTTTAATATTGTGTAAATGTTTTTTATCACCACCATATCAAACTGATTACATTATCTACTCATTTGACATTTAAAGTATATCCTTTTGTTTCAATTAAAGTTTTGTTTACACTGTACATATTTTTACACAGGAAAATATTGGGGTGTATTTTCCTGTCTAGACCAAAAATTATATTATCACCTTTTATATTTGTATTTATATGTACACTTTATGCTAACACAGGAACTTATTGGGGTGTATTTTCCTGTCTAGACCAAAAATTATGTAATCACATTGTATATTCGTATGTAAACTTTATGCTAACATAGGAAAATATTGGGGTGTTTTTTCTTGTTCAGATCATGCAAATTGTCTTATTATTTATATGTACACATTCTGTTTTCACAGGGAGATATTGGGGTGTATTTACTTAGTTTATTTACCTTTTTATAAAATAAAGTCGTCTGGCACATTTGTGCCAGACATTTTCAATCCACTTTTTGTCAGACTCTTCTTTACACTTTCCCTTCCGTGATGACAGAAATAAAACTTCAAAGGCGTTCAGGCAAAGCAAATATAAAACTATGCTTTATTTAGTGTAACATATAAAGCTATTTATATTTGCGAAATAAATCATCTTGTCTTAGTTATAGATTTTTACAGACTTTTTCTGGAGGTTTAAGTTGTTCTCTCACTTGCTGCTATTTACTTCTTTGTGGTTATTATTTTTACTTTGGTGTATTTAACTCAGCCTCGTTTTGGATCCAAAAAATTTCCTTTGTTGTTTACAGAGAAGTTTCTATTTTTGCTTTTTAATTATCACCGCTTTCCTCCCCGCCTCCCTCCAGATTTAGTCATCTTAGCTATATGTGTTTTGTTGTGGACATGTTCGCGTCCAACTTTCTGTCATCCTTTGTGATATTATGACACAATTTTCTAGTCTTATAGTTTCTAGTCATTTTGATTAACTTAGTTTATTTACCTTTTTATAAAATAAAGTCGTCTGGCACATTTGTGCCAGACATTTTCAATCCACTTTTTGTCAGACTCTTCTTTACACTTTCCCTTCCGTGATGACAGAAATAAAACTTCAAAGGCGTTCAGGCAAAGCAAATATAAAGGTAAATCGTTTATATAGTAGGAGGATAAAATGGGCCCTAAGACAGATCCTTGAGGGACTCCAGCTGATACACCCAAAGACTCAGATGTGGTGCCTGACACAGATACTTTCTGAGATCTTTCTGTTAAGTATGATTGGATCCACTGTAATGTATGATCTGAGATGTTATAACAACTAAGTTTTTCAATGAGTAGTGTATGGTTAACTAGATCAAATGCTTTTGTTAGGTCAAGAAATATGGTTCCTACAAGATTGTTGTTATTGATTTGATCAATCCAGTTGTCTACTATGGAGTAAAAATATATGTGCTTGTTTACAACAAAATGTTCAAATTAAAAATGTCTCAATGATTTATAGTTATCACATTACCAGAATTTCTTTACCTTGCAGAGCTGGGTCTCATAGGTCAGCATTATAATTCAATTAATACATATAAATTATACCTATAGTGTATCTAGTTTACATATAGATGATTGTGTACTTGAAGATATCTCCATATAGGACAAAGTCAAAATGGCGGAAAAAATGCTCTCCAACTTACACTAAATGTAACAGCATTGAAACTTTTTAGCACCCATATTTCATGCACAAAGTAGAATAAAAACTTTAAAAGACTTTCTATTGTTTAACATGAAGTACAACACCTTACCATAAATTTATCTTCTGATCGAGTAGTTGGGCTGGTTCTAGAATCCTCTGCCAGATTCAGGGTAAGAAATTTGAGAACCATTCCTCTGGATGCTTTTTCCCCAGCATCAAGTGTCCATGTACACATGAGGTCATTGGGTACAGGATGAGGAGAAACTATAACACCATATGTGTCCACTATTGCCACTCCACACCCTTCAGAAATCAGAATACATTTATAAATCATTATCAAAGAAATGAAAATAAATAACAGTGAAACAAGAATTTAAGAATTTTTTATTATTATAAATTTCATTTTGAACTCAAAATTTTAGCATATTTTCCTTCAATTACATGAATACTTAAAATAGCTCAATTATAATAAGAGAAATGATATTTAAAGACACCAAACTGCAATGTACCTAACATATAATCTACTGTTGTATTCAGATCATTGTAAAACATGATGCCTGATCATTTGTTCAGTGTACAGTGATGATCCAGGCCAGAGCCTGAACATCAGTGACATGATAGATCTAGGCCAGCCTGAACATCAGTAACATGATTGATCTAGGCCAGCCTGAACATCAGTGACATGATAGATCTAGGCCAGACTGAACATCAGTGACATGATAGATCTAGGCCAGCCTGAACATCAGTGACATGATAGATCTAGGCCAGCCTGAACATCAGTGACATGACAGATCTAGGTCAGCCTGAACATCAGTGACATGATAGATCTAGGCCAGCCTGAACATCAGTGACATGACAGATCTAGGTCAGAGCCTGAACATCAGTAACATAATGGACCTAGGCCAGCCTGAACATCAGTAACATGATTGATCTAGGCCAGCCTGAACATCAGTGACATGATAGATCTAGGCCAGACTGAACATCAGTGACATGATAGATCTAGGCCAGCCTGAACATCAGTGACATGACAGATCTAGGTCAGCCTGAACATCAGTGACATGATAGATCTAGGCCAGCCTGAACATCAGTGACATGACAGATCTAGGCCAGCCTGAACATCAGTACATGATTGATCTAGGCCAGCCTGAACATCAGTGACATGATAGATCTAGGCCAGACTGAACATCAGTGACATGATAGATCTAGGCCAGCCTGAACATCAGTGACATGATAGATCTAGGCCAGCCTGAACATCAGTGACATGACAGATCTAGGTCAGAGCCTGAACATCAGTAACATGATAGATCTAGGCCAGCCTGAACATCAGTAACATGATTGATCTAGGCCAGCCTGAACATCAGTGACAAGACAGATCTAGGTCAGAGCCTGAACATCAGTAACATGATAGATCTAGGCCAGCCTGAACATCAGTAACATGATTGATCTAGGCCAGCCTGAAACATCAGTAACATGATTGATCTAGGCCAGCCTGAACATCAGTGACATGATAGATCTAGGCCAGCCTGAACATCAGTGACATGATAGATCTAGGCCAGCCTGAACATCAGTGACATGATAGATCTAGGCCAGCCTGAACATCAGTGACATGATAGATCTAGGCCAGCCTGAACATCAGTGACATGATAGATCTAGGCCAGCCTGAACATCAGTGACATGATAGATCTAGGCCAGCCTGAACATCAGTAACATGATAGATCTAGGCCAGCCTGAACATCAGTGACATGATAGATCTAGGCCAGCCTGAACATCAGTGACATGATAGATCTAGGCCAGCCTGAACATCAGTAACATGATTGATCTAGGCCAGCCTGAACATCAGTAACATGATTGATCTAGGCCAGCCTGAACATCAGTGACATGATAGATCTAGGCCAGTCTGAACGTCAGTGACATGATAGATCTAGGCCAGAGCCTGAACATCAGTGCCATGATAGATCTAGGCCAGTCTGAACATCAGTGCCATGATAGATCTAGGTCAGTCTGAACATCAGTGACATGATAGATCTAGACCAGTCTGAACATCAGTGCCATGACAGATCTAGGATAGTCTGAACATCAGTGACATGACAGATCTAGGTCAGAGCCTGAACATCAGTAACATAATGGACCTAGGCCAGCCTGAACATCAGTAACATGATTGATCTAGGCCAGTCTGAACATCAATGACATGATAAACCTAGGCCAGTCTGAACATCAATGACATGATAGATCTAGGCCAGTCTGAACATCAGTGCCATGATAGATCTAGGCCAGTCTGAACATCAGTGCCATGATAGATCTAGGCCAGTCTGAACGTCAGTGTTATGCAAAGATCCAGGTCAGCCTGAACATAATTACCAAGTCATTATGAACAACACTGACTTTTCAATCACATAATCAATTTAAGCACTTCGATATTAAGATAAAATTTTACAGCAAATGTTTCATTTATTGAATATAATATAAGATTTAGACTGACCTAGTTTGTATCTCAAAGTTACATGACCATTAACAGGGACGAAGTTAGACATCAATTTTACTTCATTAGTTGTTGATGTATAATAATGCCGGTCAGATAGAGAGTCTTCCATTCCTTCAACATTTAATTCATACTTTACATCATCTACCGAAAACCCTGATTTAGGGGAAACTTGCACCTGTAAACAGAAATGATATAACAACAATTTAACCTTTCAAAAGGAAACTTAATCTTGAGATTCAATAATTCTCATTATTAGGTTTCACAGCTTCCTTTTATGGAAACAAAATTACTTCCTAAAAATAAACATGGATCATTACTGATTTTTCTTATATGATTAAATACAGCAGTCACTGTCTAAAGCAAATATCAATGTGTTAACTTATAAAGTACACTTATTCATCATCTGTTCCAAATATGCCAAAGATATTTTAGTGTGTTTTCATTACATGTTACATGTATATTAATTGTATACATACAAAATAGGTTATCACATTTCCCTCGTTTGCATTAATTTGCCAACTCAGCTTCAGATTTTTTGGTGTATACTCCTCACTAGTAAATGGCATACTGATACTTTTCCAATTATTAATTGCCGTTTCTTGTTTTGTTCCCGCTGGTATTGATGGTATTTCTACAAAAACAGTTATTCATGTATTTCTAATTATTTTGGTTTGATAAATTAGAAACGTGTTGTCGCGCCACGGATGCTCCCGAATGCAGCCGAAATTCAGATGTTATCATATTTAGTTCTATTATTTTCATTTTAAGTTCAAAGCCCTTAAAACTTTTCAATGTTATTATAAACCATTTTTATACAAAGTTTAACCCTTTCGCTGCCATAGGGACGGCTTATGCCGTCCCTAAGCCGTCCCTGTTATTTTCGGCAAATTTGCTATATGGACGGCTTTAGCCGTTTCTATAATAACAGTAATAATAATAACTAGAACTATCGCTGAATGCGATTCATACCCCCACCAATGTCCTTGACAGAAGACGACTTGGAAAGGTGGTTAAGGGAATAACTTAAGTGGCACAAATACATAAAAAGAAATTTTCTCTGGTGAAAAAAAGACTAATTGTACAGGTAATAGTATAAATATTTATTATCAAATCATTCGAAACAGTTACAAATAACCTTTCATTTTCCCGATGTACTATTATTTAATAAGTCAATTTTTGACCTTCAAGTGTGGCCTTGACCTTAAGCTGGCACAAGGGTAAGATGAGTTCTGCACATCGCCCAGTTGGGGTGAACATTTGAGTAAAGTTTGAAGAAAATCCTTCCAAAAC